ATGTAGGGAATCTTGGTGAGGAACTTGAACGTTCAGGCTGGTAATGATATGAGCGGAGTACCAACGGACATGATGTCTTTTAACTCAACGGTCAGGATCTTGTACCGGAACCCATCAACTTTCTTCGCCGTCCACGTCACTGCTTCACCTCTTCTTCTTCATTACTCTAATCTCCTACTCTCCTCCGGTGAAATGAAGAAGTTCGCGGTGGGTAGGATGAGCGGAGCGAGCATAGTTACGGTGGTGCATGGTCATCAGATTCCACTCTACGGTGGTGTCTCTGTCCATGTCGATACACTCTCACTGCCCCTTAATCTCACAATCGCCCTCCGTTCCAAAGCTTACATTTTGGGACGACTCGTCACCTCCAAGTTCCATACAAGGATCATTTGCTCCTTCACTCTTAATGCAAACCATTTCCCCAAACCCATCTCTCTTCTCCACTCATGTAATGACCACTGACCACGTATGTGTTCTTGGATATATATGTATCATTTTGCAATCAGTTTCATCCATCAATGTACAACACCAACATTGCTATATGCCATAAACACACAAAAAATGATGCTACTTTATGTGAAAAAGTAGACAAGGTAACAGTTCATAATCATAAGCATTCAAGAATGAAAGAATCATGAGCCAAGATTCTACTAGAAAGTAAACCCCAAAAACCAAATATAATCTAATAATCGGTAGGTATACATACAAAGACTATGAGTCTAGAGTAAGTAGCGTCGGAACTGTAAAGAACCTCCTGCAATCATAGAGAGTTCTTCTGTCTGACAATATCTGATTGTTTCTTACTTTATCCTTCTACTGTTTATGGAAAGGGGGCATGGTAGATGGAAGTACTGAAATTCATGAAACATCATGTGTTCTTTTTTTTGGTTTATCCTGTTGTGTGATGCTTTCATCTCTCACATCATAATTTTTTTAATCAGTTTGATTTTATGGGCACACATTTAATAATGGTAATAAACATAAGAAAGGCAATGGTATAGAGAACTAGAAGTGTAGTATTATTTGTATCATTCAATTGTTCTGTGTTTGTATGATAATCCTCTCTCTGTATACTGATTGCTCAAAGGAAGGATATACAAATCGACAACTGGGCATAAGACCTCTGTGGTAGTCCTTTTTTTTACCAGCACAGAATCCAGATTTTATATGCAGATCAGAGTTGCTCTGGATGTAAAACTACAGTTTTTTTTCACATCTGGCAATAGCTGCCCACGGACTTGGTATTGTCTCACTAGTTGAAATTTAGATTCATGGTTTCATGTTTTAGCAGGACCTGTGGAGTTGTTTTCCTTGTCGACCTTCAATACCATTTCAAAGCTCTTCAATATTTAAAAGGTTGTTGCAGCAGAAGATTTGGTAAAGCTTGAGCAACAGACTTCCTGAGTTTCTGGCATGTGGGCGATTTCTAAAGTGATCTAGTCGTAGTAGAAGATGTTCCAAACCCATTCAGTTTCCAAAGAGACCATGCATTCACCAACACTCACATCACCCATACGCAAGGCATGTTTCCTTTTGTCTAGTCTAGAGTAGAGACAAAGCTTTTTTCCAGTACAAGAGTAGAGAGCATACGATATATATTTTGCTGTGAACTTTGGACGTACTAAATTAAACACAGCTTTATTTCAAAGACTGGGAGGACCTAATCAACTAGCTCGTACCTATTATACAAGTATGGTATAGACATATGCAGTCTAAGCGGCGCAAGTGGCACAAGTGCAGCCCTCACCACAGGTGCACGAAGATTTCGCCTTGGCGGAGGTCCGAGTCTTGGTGCAGGTGCAAGGGTTGCAGCTGCACTGCTCCCCACACGGGCACATCTCCTGTACTTGATCCCCACCAGATGCTTCACTCCTCATCATACACCTACATGAATTGAAACCACGTTTTATAAATCAAAACACACATCAATAATCTTGGAGCATCTAGAGGATCAAACCTGCAGGATTCGCCACCAGGACACGGAGCAGGGCAACCACAGCGATCGTTGCAACTAGCACCTGAGCTTCCTTTACCTGTGTCTGCCATTTTCTTTCTCTTTTTTCTCTCTCACTCCTCTCATTCCACATTCATATATATAGATAATGAAGCTGGGCGGTGCCAGAGGAATACGTGGCTTGTGTTGATGTAACATACACCATGTGGCAGTTTCTCCTCTAACCTAAGTTGTGACAAAGCCGTCTGAGTAGTTCAAACGTGCTACGTAACCACAACACTAGTCCAAGAATAGTTCTTGTTTGATTAGCAATAAATTTGTCGTGGCCAAATGAAAAGTTGCAATTTTATCAAGACCACTAAGGGAGGGATTGAACAAGAAGACTGTAGAAAAGTATCAAGGACAAGGACAAGGACAACATATACACATACTTTAAAAGTAACTAGTCCCTTGTAATTGTAACACACTTGACTCAATGGTTACCAT